ACATACCGTATGTAGTATACACCTTTTTGATAACGTAATAACTAAGTAAATTTAAATACCAGGGTAAACAAAATAGAAACAACACTTTAAAAACAATTTGGGTCCGAATCGCACCTCAGGACCCACCTGCATCAGGAATTCCCAAACGTAAAATAAAAAACGCGATGGCGGAATGCATAAATACCGAGTCACGTCAAAAGTCATATAAACAAAAGAAACATAATAGCACGAAGACAAATAACGCGGAAACTAAAGTAAAATAAAAAGATACACAATTTCAGCAACTACAATCTATAACTCAAGACCATCTTGTATTAATGAATCAAAGTAGACACTGAATATTTATCTATTAGGTCTTGGTACTTTCCGATTAACTTTGTGAGAAAAGGAAGGATACGTTTTTTAACAAAACCCTTGCTCAATGACCTTCAGACACCGATGACGTTTCACAAAGTCTGAGAAACAGGTGCAAGTTCTTTAATATCGTATGAGTTGAGAAATGTATACTCCATACGGAAGTGAAGTTGATATATTAATTCTCAGATGATGAAAATTTGTAAAGTGTTAGTTTAATTTTAAAACATTATTTAACATATGTGTGAGCGCTCAACCATTCCTCCAACCTGAGACAGTGGTGAAACAACACCAGTAAACATCACAAAGTGAGGGCTTCGTCATCAGATAGGTAGAGAGCACAAACAGCAAAACAAACAAAAATGAAGATCACGTTCTATTCTCATTTAATTTTTTACTATATTTAATAATATCGATACAAAGTTTAGTTTTAATAATTTTATATTTTTTATATGGTTTAAACTATGTACAATTATGCGACTTCCCTTACTTGTTCTTTCTGATAGGTTTCAAGAATGCTTATCGCACGGTCACAGTTTACTATTTACAAATTTAAATTTACATTTCATTGTATGTTTTTCTGAGATAGTAATTTTAAATTTGACGACTTTCCTTATTTGTTTTCCCGTGTGGTTGTAAGCGCCTTTCTTTATTTGTTCAACTTGAAAGGTTTTATGTATTTTTCATCTGCCACAGTGGTACAAGTATATACAATACGCTTGTCAATCTCAAACATACGACAACATTTACTTATATTATGTATATGATTAAAAGTAGAGTGGGCTATATATTCAATGAAACAACAACACAACGACACTATTAAAAAAGATATCTAGAAGTCAGATCTCAATTACCTCAGATCTTTAATTCAAGGATAATATCTTATAGAAATATATATGCAGGGGACTCCGATTAGACCAGTCTTTGCTCTTACTCATAAATACTTTGTTTTATTAAAAAAAAAAGTGATTTGTGAAAAAGCAGCAAACACTAAGGCTGAAGTCTGAAATTTGAATCTGTCTGGAATAGAACACATGACCTTACCAGCACACAATCACGAGAACCCCAACATTTGACTTTTAATATGCAACTAGTTTAAACAAATAACATGGTTTAGTACTACGTAATTCTACTATTTTCTTGTACAGTGGAATCACAAAATGTTCAGAGTAAAACATGCACAGAGAACATCCAGTAAATATGAACAAGCAATCTTAAGGTCAATAATAGCGGTATTACATGTATATTGATATAGCTGCCCCAAGTCCAGACACCCGTCAGATGTCAGATATTGTCAGTAATATCTTAATATATTTTGTTATTTGATGAATTGGGTGTTGATGGCAGATTTTTGATTTTTTGCGTGAATTATTTTGTTTACGAAGATTTAGAGCTTGAAATGCTGTTTATATGTAGATACCTGACAATTGTTGAAGACGTTTCGTTTTGGATATACAAATTCGAAAGAACAAAAACAGACAAACATGTCACTCAGGAAAGTTCTGAAGCTTGCAATTGATTTTTGTTTTATCACTTCTCATGTTCATTGCAGTGTCTTTCGTCTTTCATTACTAGCGGAGTACAATAACGGAAGTGTTACATTTAATTTAGTCCTACAGGCTCGTCACGTAATCCCTGGAACAGATTGTAGTTTTCGTGTTAAAAACAATTATAGCATTATGTTTATTTTACTTGTAACGGAAGAAACAAGTAGTATCACAGAAACAAATACACTACCACCGGAAGACAAAAGTTTATGATGTTTTTCTCTGTATGAGTTTCCAAGTTTCCTTTTGAAATACGTTTAAATTGGATGTTTAAAACGTGGGCTGGTCATAGTAGTATTTACTTTATATAATGCAGAGCATGCTTTGGATCTACCGACATTTCACAGATATGTTGGTACCTTAAAGTTATACACTTTTTACTATTATTAATATTGTACTGGCCTACACCAGTTAGTTTAAGTATCACCATACATTATTGACAAATATAAATATGTTTACTCAACAAAACTAACTCTGATTGCTGACTAGCCTTTCCGTCTGGAAAATTTCCGAAAATGAATGGGTTAATCCTGTTGTAAACTCGGCATTATTGTTTATTCCTTATAATGAACCTGCGTTAAGGTTGAAGATAAGGCATTTATAAATGTTTCATTTTCTAAATAGTATTTCCTGATTATTTAATAATTAACTAGTTTTAATGCAAAAAACTACTATTGAAATTATTAAAAAGAATAAAATCGACCGTACCGATATTACTACATCAGAACTGACTTTCAATAATGAACATCTCTTGGTGATACTCTCGAGGCCAAGATATTAGAAAATAATAAAACCAAAAACATATCTACATTCTACAGCAAAAATCGATTTTTGTTAAAAATAAATATGAAAACTACACTTTATAAATTTTATGCGTCCGAATCGCTTTTCTGAATTTACCTGCATCAGGAAAGCTCAAAGCCGAATATGTGAAAGCAAACGATGTATAAAAACTGAAAAAGTTGAAAAACTGACAGAAAGGACCATAAAAATAATGAAATGTGCAGTTCCTTTTATTCATAAATAAATTATATTTTCTTTCAAAGGAATCATTGAATGATGATGTTGAAAATAGTTACTGATATGTCTATTGCATTTGGTTTTGGACGGAATTGGGTAAACAATTATGATGAGCCGGTCGATTTTGCGTGTCCAGCTGGACAAGCCATTTCTGTCATCTGTAGTGAACACCATGACTATTATGAAGATCGCAAATGGGCTTCGGAATGTAATCGTACTGGTGGACAACACTATCAATCTCATTGGACATGTACTTATCTAATAACTTGGTAATCGATAAGTCATAAGGAGACAGAATCTGTTGTATTCTGTATTGGCCATGGTTTGTCTCGTGTTTTCAATACAGTTGACCGAGAATCAATACCAAGGCCAATACAGAAACAGACAGTTCATATCAATTGTATAAGGGGATTCAAATCCTTCGATAAAACTTAGAAACTTACTGCGAAGATGGTACAAGAAATTATATTGGAACTTATTTTTTCCCCTGTTTTGTTAAAACAACACCGAGATGACAGATGTGAATTCTGATTTCTTGTCCAAGAACCTAATCTCTTCTAATGCAAATTATTTTTATCTACAAAATATATTTGGAAAAAATAAAACATTGATTTGTCTTTTTTATCGTCCGCATTCTGGTAATTGATCGACAGAAATCAAACAGGGATATTAATCGGCAGATTTACTAGGGTAGGCTGTGGAATATTTCCATTTTAAGGCGAAACAATACAAGACAGTCAATTAAAAAACGTTATTTTGAATTACAAATTATGACACAAAATATATCTTATGCAAAAAAAAAAAGTTCAAATTTTAATGAGGCTTAAAAATATAGAACCGATTCCGAATAGAATATCCTGTATAGCCAATGCAATCGGCTAACACGATTTTGTCTGTTTTATATACGGTCCGAAAAGCTGTTTTACGATAACAGGTAAGAAAAAGGGCTTTCATCACTGATTTTTATTGCATTTTGTATTCAACTACAGCAATATGTAAGCAACTTGTATACTTTCGAACAATAGAAAATTGAATATACCTTTGTCTTTTGGACGATTTATTTCACACGATGCAGAAGTTTCAACTGTCTTTACTAAAACTGGATTGCGAGAAATGATAATTGAAAGTCAATGTTGGTGTATTTTATACTAATGCTAGTTTTTTAAGAAAAATCTATGTAGTAAAAATTGAACATTTTATGATTTGAAGGTAAATTTATGAACGTTTTTCTTTGATTTCATGTGCTTCCTATACAAATGTTCACCTATTTGGAAAGAATTCAATCAGTAATATTTCAGAAAATAAAAGATCTAGAGATAAAGGTACTATTTTTTCGATTTTCAGATATAATGCAACGAGCCCAAGTTATATGGAAAATTTTACCAAAATCTGTGACATAGCCCATTTACTGTTCCTTGATATTAAATTGATTTATCATGTTTAGGAAAGGAACTAAGTCATTGTTGTGAAACCTCCGAGAATGATCTTGACAAACCAAATACAGTGTATGTACCAACTGGTTCCGTTATCAGAGGTGTTGTCAGTACACTACACAATTACTATAAGTAAGTTTAGTCTTTTTTACGAGTAAGTACCAAACGGTTTCTTTACTATGAGTATATGAGTATGTACCAAATGCTACCGTTATTCGAGGTGTTGTCAGCAAACAACAATTTCTAAGTGTAATTTAAGATGTTTTCACTAGTATTTACCAATGGTTATTTTACTAGAGATATAGTGAATACTCACAACGGTGGATTAGAGTAATTTAAATATTTCCATGAGTATGTACCGAATGGCTTCACTTATATAGGTATTTTCAATACACAACAGTAAACTCTTATAATAAGTATGTTTAGAAATGTCTATGAGTATTCTGAGTAATTGTGTCATAATTGATTACAGATATGTTCCAATTGTCGTAACTAAATATGTATTTAGAGTAAACATAGAGTGAGAATTGAGAATGGAAACGAGGAATGTGTCAAAGAGACAACAACCCGACTAAAGAGCAGAAAACATTCCAAGGCCACTAATGTGTCTTATTATGCAAGTTGTTAATATTTAATTTGATTTCAGAGATCGACAATTCAATTGGAAAATGCGCATAAATTGTCAACAGTGCCTATTGGAAATCCAGTAACAAAAAATCACAGGAAAACAGTCACATCCTTAGCAGTGCCTATTGGAAATCTAGTAACAACACATCACAGGAAAACAGTCAAATCGTCAACAGTGTCTACTGGAAATCCAGTAACAACACATCACAGGAAAAGAGTCAAATCGTCAACAGTGCCTACTGGAAATCCAGTGACAACAAATCACAGGAAAAAACTCAAATCGTCAACACTGCCTACTGGAACTCCAGTAACAAAAAAATCACAGGAAAACAGTCAAATCGTCAGCTGTTACTATGGTAAATCCAGTGACAAAAAAACTTCCTCACGTATCAGCCTGAATTTCTTTTGCTGATGGCCATATCCGTCACATCGTTTTGTTTAACAGTATTTAAATGATTTCTCTCAAAATGGCAAATATTTAACGGTTCACAATTTTCATATACATATTTACGTTGATAATTTGTTTTAACCTGAACAGGCACTTCTTTTAATTTGTTATATACACGTAAAGACAATTTTTTTATATTATAAGATCCCAAACTGCAAACTCGAGAATTTAGATGTGGGAAATAGGTAAATTGTATAACACAAAGACCAATAAGAAGCATTCGTTTATTTTGTGTATGAGATTTTGTATGTTCAAGATTTTTATTTTACTTTATTTACATATTTGACGCAGAGACGAAAGCTTTAAAATATCATTGTAACAAGCTTTCAGTGTAATGTTCTTAATAATAATGATAAATTCTTAAATAAAACAGCGTAATAGATAATAAAAAGTGTACACGATTTTTATACAGAAAATTAGTGCAATTACCGACGTAGACAAACTGTGATTGTGTTAATTAGTTTTATCGTTGTTATTTCATCAGTTTTTCCAATGGTTTGAACATTTCATTAAAGGTATCATAAAACAACTCCTTAAACCTTCTTTTGCTAAATACAGTTACGTCCAAACTAAAATGCCGTTACGTTTCCGTTGTAAATATATTTATATTTGAAAGGAAAAACACGCTTTGAAATATGCAAGTTTGTAAATCGTCGAAAGTATCTTCCGTATTTTGAAGATCTTGAGATGAATGTTAAACCTAAATGCATAGTCTAAATAGTCATAATCTTGGTTTTTTCTATAATGTAATAAAATATACTCCTATATAAAAATAAGAAGATCTGGTATAATTGGCAAGAAGACAACTCTCCGTCAGAGACTAAATGACATAGAAGTTAACAACTATAGAGTACAGCCTTCAACAATGAGCAAAACCAATACCACATACAGTAGTTAGCTATAAAAAGCCCCGAAATGACAAATGTAAAACAATTTAAATGGAAAAACTAACAGCCTGATATATGTACACAACAATAAACGAAAAACAAATATGATATACAGCAACAAACGACAACTAATGAATTACAGGCTCCCCTCTTGGAATAGGCACATACAGAATATGGCGCCAAACTCTCCACCTAACATGGGACAGTGGTGTAACAGTACAACATAAGAACAAACTATGAAAATCAGTTGACATGGACTCATCAGACAGATACAAAGCGCATAAAAACCATAACAGAAACACAAAATATACAAAGTACAGATCTAAGAGTACAACATTTGGTCACTATGTGCAAATCGTTTAGTAAAGGCGACAATGGCAGTCTTTTCCTCCATCCGTCTTTTGATATTGTAAACTAAGAAATGTATGATGGCTTATTTAGAACTTGTGTCATTTTCACAGATATGGTTAAATTTTCGGGGTACGAAGTGTGATTTATTTGTTTACAAATTGGGAAAACCAGAAAGGACTCATTTGATGCAACTTCACTAGATTCAAAGTCCCTATTTCAGTTAAATTCTCTGACAATTCAGTTATTTACAAACATATGATAACTCCAAAGTTTTATACCTTTATTGTACAGTCTTCTGCTCTTCAAAAAAGCTCAAATGATTAAGCTCAGTCAATTACTATAAATAGCATTTTATCCGATATCACTGCATACAGATTTTTTATTTCTATTTGACGTTGTGTTCCTCAATTTGAGGCACATTAGTGATATTGATAAAAAATCTTTTATCTTTTTTATGATTTTAAGTCTCATTCATTTTCTTACTATGTATAAATTTATAAGTGAATCGTATTCACTCAAAAAAGATCTAGACAGGGAGCTTCAACAAGATAAGCATCTCTTGTTTTGCATACATCAAACGCGATAGAAATCTAGAACTACTATTGTAGTATCATAACATCTAAGACCGTTAAACACATGAGTTGACACCCAAACACATCGTATTGGTCAACCAATTTTCGAAAGTAGAAGTAAAACAAAAGCTTTGTCGATGTTGGTTGTTCTTAGACATAACCGTACTGGATTATGCATAATTTGACACAACCCTCTTAATGAAATCCGTATAAAGTGGACATGCATGTGCGTTATGTATCAATGTAAATATGTTTACGCTAAACTATTGGGCAGATGATATGTTTCTACTGAGAAAGGGAAACAAACATATCAAATACGAGATGCACATGATTCGTGATTTTCCTAAATTTTCTTTTTTTGTATGTAATGTACAATGCAAAGGTATATGCGATATCGTGCATTTACTTGAATTCGGAATTCATGTGTTATGTAATCAAACATGGTTGTTGCAAATTGTAAGAGTCTTTGTTTGCTAGGACATATTATTTGTCGTGAAGAGAGGATGAATCATCCACAATCTCAGGTTGACCGAATGTCCAGATTTAATTTTCTTGCTCATGATTTTCCCCTTTTAATGAAAACTCCCAAACTACATTCACCAGAAAGCTGAAGTTATTTTTCCAGTTGTTGGGTATTGGTATCAATATTTAGGGCCTTTGGCAAACAACTTTTACAGTGTTTTATTGTGTACGTTGTCAAGATCTCTGTTTATACCAATGTCAGTAGAACTATTTTTGCATGGTGATAAGGAAAGGAGCAATCGGTATGGAACGCCACAGCTGTCTTATGTGGAACTCTGATATTACGTTATGTTGTTTTACTATTACTTGATGATATTTTGTCTTTACATAATATGGATTGACATTACGTAATGATGTTTTGATATAACTCAATATGGAATAGTCATTACTTAATGATATTTCGATATTACACGATATGGTTTCGTATTGACTTGATATAGTTTTGTCATTACTTAATATAGTTTTGGCATTACTCGATGTGGTTTCACCATAATTTAACGTGGTTGTGTCATTAGGCAATGTGGTTTTAACATTACTTGATGTGTATGTGACTTAACGTCATGTAGTTGTTTCATTACATGATGTGGTAATGATGATTTGCCAATTCTTTATATGGCTTTAACATTACGTAATGATGTTTCAAAATTTTACACTACATGATGTGTTTGTTTCAGTATTTGATGTGGTCCTGTCATTCTTTGATGTGGTTATCACATTACTTGATGAGGTAAAACCACCTGAACATTTCGGAAAAAAATATTTTCTATTTTTAAACCGATTTCCATATGTCGTTTGTTTAATGTGCTTTGGATGAGTATCGCTATCCATTGAGTTAAAGTTCAAATTAAAGTTCGAGTTGTTGTTCAGAGTTATTTGGTATGAAAAAGGGGAACGGCAGACAAAAATAAGAAAAAAAGTACTAAAAAATTAACAGTATTTCGGACATAAGAGGGATATCCCCAAACAAATTGGTCCTGCCGTTTTTTCCCTTAGCAATATTATAATAAATTCGTAAAAGATTCCACGGAACCCTGTGTCTCGCCTGATATTGCTAGCGCGCGCGCTGCTGTCAGTGTAAAAGAGTAATGTTGACTGTTGATTTATCGGTACATTTATCGGTAAAAACAAAATTAAAAAAAAAATGTTTTTCTGCAGATGCTTTATTTTGATCTTGAAGAATAACTCCTATACAAGTTTTATAACAATTCATGGAGGTTTACAAATTTATCATGTCAAAACAGTTTAATTCGGCAATATTTAATGTGAAAAAAACCTTACATAAAAATAAGAAAATGTTATGATTGCCAATGAGACAACTCTCAACCACATACCAAATGACGTAGAAGTTAACAACTATATGTGACTGTATGGTCTTCAACAATGAGAAAAACCCATACCACATAGTAAGCTATAAAAGGTAAAACGAGAAACCATACGATCTAAATGATGAAGACGCCGACGCCACTACCGACGACAGAATATAGGTTTGTTGTGTCTCACTGCCTCTACATTAATGTCGCAGGCTCGACACAAATCAAATGAGTTGAACTTTATTGTCAACAAATGAGACACTCTAAATCAACTCACACTAAAGTTACAGGGAAATGGGGGGGGGGGGGGGGATCGGACTAAGCGACAAAGCATCAATTCTATAAAATAAGAATTTTCCGATTTTTTTTTAGCGTGTATGATCATTTGAACATATACGAATATCAATCTTTTATTTTTATGAATTGCATTTTCTGATATACCTCGCACTAATTGAAAAAACAAACTTTTTGGAATATCTGTTTCACAAGTGACGACGGATATGTTCCAGTTGTCGTAACCACAATCCCGTTATCTTTTCCTCGAATGTGAACTACCAAATAAAATCAAATCACTGGGTTTGTAATTTCATGAACACTACGGGTGCCACACGTTGAGCAGAATCTGCTTACTTTTCAGAGCAGCCGAGATCACACCCGATGGATTTATATTACCCAGTCATATCGATCTATTGAGTTAAGCCAATTGAAACTGTTTAAATTCTTTTTCTTATGTTGTTCTCTTACACTACAGTCCAAGGATAGGTTAGGGTTCAGCGCTCACATACATGTTAAACTCCGCCACGTACACTTTCTTCATGTGCCTGCCCCAAGTCAGGAGCCTGTAATTCAATGGTTGTCGTTGTTTTATGTGTGTCATATTTGTTTTTCGTAGATCGTTTAGTTATAAATTAGACCGTTAGTTTTCTCGTTTGAATAGTTTCACATTTTCACGTGGTGACCTTTTGTAGCTGACTATACGGTGTGTTGAAGGCT